GTCCCCTGGATGCAGCCTATGCTTGATTCCAGTCAGCTTCCTCTTTGGGACCCCCTCGAGGCAGGGGCTCTATGCCCCTCGCCAGCAGGGAACAGTTTCAGAAGCCAAGACCTTTGCCCCTCACTCCAAAAGAATTTGGGTCCCATTTGTTTGAGGGGGGAATGATGGGTATGGGCCCAAGCCCATTTGTCTATGAGCCCTAGAAAACCTCACCTTGAACTCTCCCACTTGCTCAGGGAAGTTTCTAACATTCCTCTGAGGCTATAATCCTATCAACTGGCCTTTCATTACCACCTACACCCAATTTCCCGATACTCTATTACCCTTGATCTAACCCAGCCCTCTATTGTCTGTTACCTCCTGGTGACCCCCAGTCACTTCCCACCCTTGATCCCATCTAGGTTCCATTCCACCTCCCAGTCATTCCCATCAAGATCTTCCCTAGACTCTCTTCTCCCAAATACCTCTTCCAGTCACCTCAAACTGCTTGGCCTCTCCTAGATCCCTCCCAGTCTTTCTATTTATAAGATCCATCTTGTCTTCATTAAGGTGCTCAGATTCCTAAAATCTGGCCTACTTGAATTAGCAACACAAATGCTTAAGATTCCTTAAGAGTCTTGCCAATATGTGGGTCTTTAATAAACCTTGTTTTTGGCTGAAAGAAGGCTTGGGTCCAATTCATTCAGGCAGGACCTGTCTGTTGTAATTTTAGCTGAACTTCAACGTTGCTAGCCACTGCACAAAACAGCCAGCATAGGACACAGTCAGGTGGACAGCAATTTGTCCACTCAAGAGTGTGACACACATGTCACCAGTGGGTGATGGACATATGCATCTCACAACTCTGCAAATGACAGATCTTTACTCTTGAGCTACAAGACTGGAGTAATTGAAGAGAAAATGTTCTTACAAAACAGTTTTGGCAGGAAAAGATACTTATTAGGATGCTTCAATTGTTACAAAGGAAAGAATGTGTTATAGCATAACCATTAACACTAGATGAAAGAAAACTTTGGATGGTTCAGTGGATAGAGCACTGTGCCTGGACTTGAAGATCTGAGCTCAAATCCAACCTCTTGACATGTGCTAGCTGTGACCCTGAGAAAGTCACTTAATCTCCATTTGCCTCAGTTGCTCATCTGTAAAATGGGGACACATTAAATGATGGGGTGAAGGGACCTGGATCCCTAAAAGGAAAAGACCATGTCTTTGAAAACAACCCAGTCCCTGAATTTTCCCATACATTTCAGCAGCCTAGATCACTTGTGTCTCACCCAAGGCACCCAGCCTAGCCCAGTCCACCTAGATAATTCACAGTCCTTTCAGTCTCTTGACTCTGCCCAGACTACTTAATACTCCTTTCGCTGTTGCATTGAACAATGTTGCTCTTAGTGAGTACAATGTTCTCCTGGTTTTGCTCACTTCATTAAGCATCAGTTCGTACAAATCTTTCCAGGTTTTCCTGAAGTCTGCTTGCTCATCATTTCATATAGCACAATAGTATTCCATTACATTCGTATGCCACAACTTGTTCAGCCATTCCCCAATTGATGGGCATCCCCTCAATTTCCAATTCTTTGCCACCACAGAAAGAGCTACTATAAATATTTTTGTATGTATAGGTCCTTTTCCCATTTGTATGATCAGAAGAGTATGCAGTTTTGTAGCCCTTTGGACATAGTTCCAGATTGTTCTCAAATGGTTGGATCAGTTCACACCTCCACCAACAATGCATTAGTGTACCAGTTTCCTACATCTTCTCCAACATTTATCATTTTCTTGTTTTCTCATGTTGCCAAATCTGATCTTGGCCTTTTCAAGCTATGTTCTTTCCAAGTTCTCCAGCCCAGTAGAGAGCATCATGGTATACCCACAGTTAGCAAGCCAAGACCTGTATGACGATCCAGCAAAGAGGACTGACAAAAGAGGTCAGACAGGCAGGAGAACTATTCCAGAGCACTGTTTTGAAAACCTAGAAGAAAGAAGAGGTGATGGAGAAGAGCCTCAAGAGTTGCAGAGTCAAGGATAAGGACTGGGGAAAGGTCATTGGATTTAGCAATTAAGAGATTGTTGACAACTTTGGCAATAGCAGTATGGGTTGAATGATGGGGTTGGAAGCCGGACTGAAGAGAATGAAAGCAAAGGAAGTGGAGGCATTTATTGCAGATGACTTTCTCAAGGAGTTTAGCCATAAAAAGCAAGAGAAATATAAGACAATAGCTATCAGGGATGGAAAGATCAAGTGAAGGTTTTTTTTTTTTTGAGGAAGGGGAAGAAATGGACATGTTTGTAAGCAGTAGGGAAGCACCCAGTGCATGAAGACTGGAGATGAGGGGACAATCTGTTGGAAAAAATAGAATGAATGGAATGGGATTGCTTGTACACATAGAGGGGTTAGCCTTGGCAAAGAGAAGGGCTACCTCATCATGAGAGATGGAAAAGGAGGAAAGATAGAAGGCATCTGAGTGATGTGAAATAAGGGAAAAAGAGAAAGCTTTCTGTGAATGGCATCAATTTCTTTCTGAAAAATATATGACAGGCACTGTGCTAAGTGTTTTACAAATACTATCTTATTTAATCCTCACAACAATCCTGGGAGTGCTATTATCCCATTTTACAGTTGAGGAAACTGAGGGAAACAAAGGTTAAGTGACTTCCCTAAGGTCACACTACTGGGAAGTGTCTAATGCTGGATTTAAACTTAATTAGTACCTGGAACATGGAGACTATAAATGTTTGCTGATTGTTTGACTATCAAAACTTGTTCAGCTCATTCTGACTCAATGTAGTCCTGAGGAAAAAGGTCTAGTTTAGAAGTTATGTCTGCTGAGTTCTAGCCTGAGCTTTGTCACTAACTTGCTATGACTTTGACAAGTCATGTCCTTTTTCTGGGCTTCAGTTTGGGCCTGTGGAAAATGAATGGGCTGAATGATCTGATTTCTCAGTTCCCTCTGTGATTCTAAGATTGTAACCTTGTGTTTTTGTCGACAACTGACAGGCAGAGAAACAGATCCAGAGATAAAACTACATGCAGAAGGTCACAATGAATTAAGGACTGAGCTGAGTCTTAAGCAAAAATCTCCTGGCTATCAGCCTGTTATTTTTTCCACTAGACCACAATTCATTGACTTGTCATAAGTGGCTTCTGGGAGATTCTTATCCAACTTGCGCATTTGACTGTCCCTTCTAGTCTTAGCAGTATAATGTGCTTCTGAGGGTCCAGAGGGGGTGGGGTATTGAGGGCCAAAGACTTCTCTTTACTCATCAAATGCCAATTCCTCTAAATTAAAGGTGCCAAGAGAATAGGGCTTCTGAGGTCACAGATTGTCCAATTTCTCCCATGCTCTGCTAGCTGTGGATGTTCCATAAAATAGGGAGATGATGGGGATGGAGCTGGAGCTAGAGGGGGGCCCCCTTTTTGATGGGGGTACAGACTAACATCCCTACCCCAACAGATAGGACCCTCCCTACACTGAGGCTGACAGAGAGGTCAGAAGCTTAAGGGGAAGCTGGTGTTCTAGCAGTCAAGGACTAGAAGCATTCTTCTGGCAAGTCATTTCACAAATCACTCATCAACTCCCACAGGGATCAGAAACCATGCCCTGAAGGGTTATTTTTTTAACCCTTTCATCTCTAGAACTTCTGCCCAAAGGCCCCAGCTGTCTCCATAGGTGAAGCCTCATCTGGCCCACTATTGTAGTCTTCATTCTCCACTTATATTCAGCTTCTTTGCCGACTGCATTTTTCCTCCCTCTCCAATTCTGGACTCAACTCTGTTCCTGGAAGGAGTGGATCATTTAATTTTCCCATGGCCCTACTCATGGCTCAAACTGACCCTGTCTGATCGCCACTTCTCCCAAAGTTTGCTATCTCTCCATTAGAATAAAAGCTCATTGAAGACTAGGACTGTCTTTGCTTTTGTGTTTTGTGTTTGTGCTTAGTAAAGTGCTTGGCATATTAAATACTTAAATGCCTTTTCATTTCTCAGGGGCTTATAGAATGTCAGAGCTGAAAAGGGGCTTAGAAAACAGCACCACAGCTGGAAGAAAAGGACCTGAGAAGCCACCCAATACAGTCCCTCAATTTTATAAGGAAAGAAAATAAAGACACTAATATAATGCTTGACCAAATTGGCAGAGCAGGGCTGGAACTCAAGACTTCTCCAGATACCCACCGTGCCACCCTTGTGGGGATTAGGCTTGCTCACTAGGGCTATTGAGATGATAGCCAAGAAAGTGCTTTGAAAAAGTTGAAAAACAAACTACTTAACATCCATGTGAGGGATTATCGGACTTTTTACTCTGTTAGAAACGGCTTCAGAAACCCTCTGGAACTATTTCTAGTGAAACTGACCTTGCTCACATAAGATATCCAATCTCCTCTCGGTGCCATTTTACACAGGCTGTAGCCCATGCCTGGGATACTTTTCTCATCTCTGCCCCACAGAATCCCTAGTTTCCTTCAAAACTCAGCTAGAAATGTCCCTTGTCCCTCCTCCCTCAATTCCTTTTGTCCACACTTTGTATTGATTTCATTCTAACTCGTGTTCATGTCTCTGGAGAATGCAAGCTCCGTGAGGCCAGGGACTGATTCATTTTGTCTTTGGATCACCAGTGCGTAGCAAAAAGTCGGTGCTTAATAAGTGTTTATTGATTGATCGATCCTGGGACGGACGGGGAGGTGTGGGACACTTCGCTGTTTCTGTAGAGGACTCCTGGGAGAGCGCCCATCCCAATGGGGTAGGGGTATTCAGTCTAAGTAGATAGATCCCAATTCCAAGCCAAGTCTTGGGTTCCAGCCCTGCTCTGCCACGTCATTATATAAGTGTCTGATCTTTATTTTCTTTCCTTATAAAATTGAGGTACTGTATTGGGTGGCTTCTCAGGTCCTTTTCTTCCAGCTGTGGTGCTGTTTTCTAAGCCCCTTTTTTTTTCAGCTCGAGATTCTGGACTTGGGCACTGCATTACAAGATCCCACATCTGCAAGTTCCTCCTTATAACCGTTTTCCCGTCACTTATACCGAACAGGTCTGGGCCGCAGAGTCCAGCGACTGATGGGGCCAGTGGTTTGCGTTCCTGGGCTCCCAAGGCCAGCGAGCCCGGAGCAGGCGGAGTCGGGGGCGGGGCCGTGGCAGGAAGAGACCGCAGGGAGCCGCGGAGCCGAGTGGGGAGGCCGTCTCATCGCTGGGGCTTCGGTGAGCAGCTGTGGGCTAGGCCGGGCCGGACCGGGTCACCGAGCTGGGGGGGCCGGGAAGGAGGCCTCCTGCTTTCGGACCCCCTGACCTTTAACGCACCCCCGACACACAAACTGTCGGGTTGAAAGCACTGCAGCCCGTTGCCTGGGTTCCCAGACTCGGGGTGAGGGGGGCGTCTGGAACCCATCATAACCTCGGGTTCCTAGGAAGAGGCGGGGCGGGTGGCCGCCTCTGGTGCCCCTATACCTTCGCCTGTCCCACTGGGGCTAGGGAGCCTGCTTTTCTCTCCCGGACTCTGCAAGCGTCTCCTTGCAGTTATGGGGAGCCCTTCACTTTCCTAACTAGGCTGCATTCCGCCTTCCACCCCAACCCAAATGAGCTGGGCTAGGGCTTGGAACTCCGTGCCTTCTCCTCATCGCCTTCTCCCAGGTCTAGGGTATCCCCACCTTCCAAACAGAACAGACCACCCGCCCTCCCTTCCCGCTGGCCGCTCCCGGTTCAGCCTACCCTCTCATATCCCTTTTGCCTCTTGACTGGGTGACTCCTGCCACTACCACCCCCAAAGTAGCGATCCCCTTTGGTCGGCCTGAGATCTTCCCCTATTTTTCCTACTGAGCCAGGCTGGGCCTTCTGACCACTCTTCCCACACGACCCCGGCCCTCGGCCAGAATCCAGCCAGAATCACTCTCTGCCTCCCCTTTAAAACACTCCCCCCCACCCCCAATTCAAACAGACCCTGACTCTCTTCCCTCTGTTAGTGCTTCCCTTCCCGCGTTCTCAATCGACTGCCTTCACTTCTTTCCCTCAGAAGCCTTCGCCCTCTCCAATTCACTATCTTCGGACTAAGGCCTCCTTCCCGGGCGGTCTGTCCCCCCTCTCTTTCCCCCTCCTCCCCCAACCGTGTGCCCCCGATTGCTTTCTCCCAGCGCACCATGGCCTCCCGCCTTCTGCACCGCCTTCGTCACGCCCTGGCCTTAACCGGAGAGGGCCCTGGAGAGCCGGCCCAAGGCCTGGAGGCTGAGGAATTCCCGGAGAGCTCGGAGCTCGAGGAGGATGACACCGAGGGCTTATCCACACGTCTCAGTGGCACCTTGAGTTTCACCAGCACCGAAGATGATGAGGAAGAGGAGGAAGAGGAAGAAAACGGAGATCCTCTGGGATCAGGGGCTGCCCTGGGCCGAAGACTTAAGAATCCTGGAGAGGATGGATCTGGGGAAGACGGAGGCAAGCCCTGGGAAATGAGGTGGGAGGGGTCTTTAGCCCCTTAAACCTAACTCTAATCCCCGACTCGGTGGGCGTTTAAAATCATTCCATTAAATTATCAAGGGTTTCAAATAATTTACAGCATCCTTAAAGGACCAGTTCTGCATTTGGTCCGCTCCCAAACTGGGGCCCACCCTCATTTTAGGAAGAGATCTTAGATTGGGTAATTTCTATCTTTCGGTTTTCAGAACTGTGCCTAGGGGACCCAACCTAATCAATCTGTTGCAGGATTTAGAGCTAGAAGGGCCCTTGGCAATCATTCAGGCTAACTACCTCATTTTACTGAGAAGGAAACAGGCTCACAAGGGGCGAGTGATTTGACTAAGAACACACAGCCAAATCAAAGTTCTGACTGGGTTTATCCCTAAACAGATCGGAGTCCCCAAGCAGAAGGTCCCCGAGGCAGTAACCTCTTGACTCGGCAACTACAGGACTTCTGGAAAAAGTCAAAAAGTAACCTGGTACCCCAGCGTCTGCTCTTTGAAGTGACCAGTGCCAATGTCATCAATGAGCCCCCCTCCAAGTACGTGGTGAGTGAGGCCCGCCCTCCACTGGCTGGGTCCTGCTCCCTCCAGCCTGGGTCCTCAAAGCTCTGGAGAGCTAGGTGGCTGGCTATGCCTAAAGAAACCTAGAGGACCAAGATCAGCCTTCCTCCCCCCACCCTCACCCCTTCCAGTTGAGATATGATATTCAGGAGACTAGAAAGCCAGAACCTCTCCACACAGGAGCCTTGTTCATACATGGGAAAAGTGGCCTGTACGGGAGTGACACTACAGAGGAAGGGAAAGGATTCAGACTGAAGGTTAAGAGAAACAGTATGTCTCAAGGACATGGACATACAGTCCAGTTTAACAAATGCTTTTTAACTGAAGTAACTAAGGAAGAAGGTTGAGAGCAGCAGTTGGTGGAAGAACTAGCCCCTTGAGGAGCCACTGGAAGCTGTTCTGTAGGAAGAGGGAGGGGCTGAAATAGAGGAGATATGAGTGACAGTGAAACTTGACATGGAACTGGGAAACTGGCTTATGAAGGAAGCTAATTCTATAACTTGCTTACAGCTAGTCTTGGAACTTGCCTGTCCCACAAAGTCCCACTGCAGCCAAGCTGCTCTCCCTCTCTGTCTCTGACACATACCACACCCCTCTGGCAGGAATGAGGCTATGGGGACCTCCTCCCACATCTCTACGTTTCCTCCCTTCCCTTCTGTTGTTAACCTGGAGAACTCCCACCTGCAGTCCTTCCAGCAGTACTATGTAGATAGGAAGCAGGAATCTGGGCTCAGGCCAGTACAGAAGGGGTCTGGGAGAGTGGAGATGTAGATGAATGGGAAGAGCTGAGGAACTGGAAGAATAAAAAAAGATGGCCATGTTGGAGTTTTCTCTGAAGCGGGGAGGGCCACAGAGACCTGAGAATCAGAAGACCTAGGCTTGAATGCTAGGACTAGCCATGTGACCTTGGCCAAGTCATAACTTCTAGGTTCCCCCATCTATAAAATGGGGTTAATACTTGGCACATGAGGCACATACTTCATAAGGCTATTGTGAAGTAAACACTTTCTAAACCTAAAAACCTTAAAACCTGGGCTGTCAGCTATGAATCTCATCTCTGTCTCTTTCTCTCTGTGCTGCACTATGATCCTGGGCAATTTAGAGAAGCCTCAGGTAAGGTGGGTCTCCAGGTCCCCTTGGTCCTGGGCCCAAGGTTCTCTTTCCAGGTCTTTTTATTCTATGGGGTGGGAAAGGGGATGAGGTGATAAAGCTGAAAGTGAGGGAGGTGGGCAAAGGGAATCTGGTTGGGTAAAAGACAATTCCCAAAGCCTGCTTGTTCCCCTTTGCCTCAACAGCTCTACACCATCGCCCTAATAGGTCCCGGGCCACAGGAGCATGTGCCAGCCCAGATTTCCCGGCGCTACTCAGACTTTGAACGACTACACCGGCAACTTCGACAGCAGTTTCGTGGTCCCATGGCTGCAGTCTCCTTCCCCCGAAAACGTCTACGCAGGAATTTTACTGCTGAGACTATTGCCCGCCGCAGCCGGGCCTTTGAACAATTCCTGGGGCACCTGCAGGCTGTTCCTGAGCTTCGTGAGGCACCCGACCTCCAGGACTTCTTCATTCTACCCGAGCTTCGACGGGCACAGAGGCTTACCTGCACTGGCCTCTACCGGGAGGCCCTAGGGCTCTGGACTAACGCCTGGCGCCTACAGACCCAACTGGGCACTCCAGTAGGTGCCCATCGGACGCTGTTGACTCTGGTAGGCCTGGCTGTGTGCCACCAAGAGCTGGAGCAACCCAGTGAGGCACGGCTGAGTTGTGAGCGGGCGCTGCAGCTGTTGGGACCTAGTGATTCCCATCCCCTGCTGGGACCTTTTCTTGAGGCTCATGTTCGGCTCTCCTGGAGGCTTGGCATTGACAAGCGCCAGTCAGAGGCCCAGCTCCAGGCCCTGCAAGAAGCTGGCCTCACCTCCACTCCACCCCCCAGCCTCAAGGAACTGCTTATCAGGGAGGCTCTGGACTAAAAGGGCTTCTTCCAATCCTGACAGGGATGGTGGGTGAGAAGCTGTGGGGACAGGGATTGACAGGTTAGGTATTCAATAGAGGGTGGTGGGAACTAGAAAAATCATAGGATTCAGAAGAGACCTTAGAGATTCCCTAGTCTAACCTCTCTGGATCTGTTTCCTTCTCATATAACTTGCCTAAGGTTACACAGGTTAGCAAGCAGCAGGTCTCAAATGTGGGCCTAGGTTCTTTGCCTTGAGATTAAGACCCTCGTTTCCTTTCAGTTGGTTACCATTGTGCTGTGCCCCCAACTAGCCCTGTGTATCTGGTCAGCCCTACCTGCAGGTGGCAGTGATGGGAATGGAGGAAGTCTGGCATGTTTCTCTACCAAGGAACAGCAATGGACTCCTCCCCAGACTCTGCTCCCTCCATTCTCCCTTTTCCATCCAACTTTGAGGGTCAGTCTCCTCAAAAGGTCAAGAGTAGTGGAGCAACTGCTCTAGCCCAGGAGAATAAAAGAGTCTGAATCTTCCAAGTGAAACCTGTTTTTATTTGCAAGGTGCTAGAGGGGTACAGCCCTCATCCACAGTTCTTGATAGAGCAGAACACAGGAATGGACGCAAGGGGTCTAGGGGTAGCTTCTTCCTACAGCTTACTCTCCAGCTTCTGCTGCTTCACCCGCATCACACCCTCCTGTGCACACGTCACAGCCAGGACCCCATCTCGTCGCCACAGACGCCCATGAACCAGCCCTCTAGAGCCACCTGTGGGTGGGCAAGGACAGTGAGCAACGGGACTGTACTGAGACCTTTTCTAAACCACAGTGGTTTAGGAAAAAAGACTGGGGGAAGAGTACATTATTCTGTGATTTCTCAGGCCTGACTTTTCCATAAGTCCTGTATGATATAAAGGCTTATCTATGTACAGGTATTGTCCATGTTTTCAGATGAGGAAACTGAGTGACTTGTCCTAGGTCACACAACTTTTGAAGTGTAAAATGAGAGACAGGTTTTGAACGTGGGTCTCTCCTGGCTCAAAATCCAGTGTAATTTCCTCTCTGTACCATACTGCCTCAACAGCTCGTATTCACTCAAGGTCTCATAAATAGCAGAGATGGGGCCAGAGCCCAGTTCTTCTAGTTCAGGGCTCTTTCTACCACATGACATTGCCAGCTTTCTCAATAACCCACTACAGACCTGAAATATAGCAATGTCTCTCAATGTCTTAGGAGCTAAAACTATTTCCAACCCATACCACCTCCCATGTAAGCAGTTTTATGATACCCAAATTTGATACAGTGGGAAATCCCTGGTCCTGAGCGTCTGAGGGCCCAGGTTAGTAGTTCTGCTATATAGAAGTCACTTCTCCAGGATCCTTGGTTTCCTGAAGTTGAGAACTAGATGGATCTCAAAGACAGTTTCCAGCTCTGGATCCTGTGACTTCCCAGTTTCTTCATCTGGAGGTATCAGTGCCACTTCCCCTCAAGGTTGTTGTGGAGATCACATACAACATTATCAAATGAGACAATGGATAGCGCTAGATAAAGTGAGGTGACACTGCTGGAATTCTAAAAATTCTAAATCTCCCAACACAGCCACCCAAATAAATGCCCAAAGGCATTTATCTTGCCAAATGATCTGTGGTAGTTGTTTGTGGAAACATCCCCTGCCTCTGAACTCACCTGCCCAGGGACTTTCACACTCATACAGCATCCAGTGGTCAGCTCGGAACGGGGCGTGGAACCACATGGAGTGGTCAAGGGAGACCATGAATCGGACTGGGTAGCGGTGGGGCAGTAGGGCAGTGCCCAGAAAGGCATAGTCGGATATGTAGGCAGCCACACAGCAATGCATCTTCATGTCTCCTTCCCCTGAAATGGTACCCTTTGCTGGTGAGCCCAAGGAAGCCTGGGCTTCTGAACCTCAGGTTCATAGAGGAATGAGAGGTAGGAGAGGAGAGCCACTGCATGGTGCAATGGAAAGAGTCAGAAGACCTGGCTTTGAAATAGGCTCTTTTCTGGGCCTCATTTTCCTCATCTGTACAACAAGGGTTCCTCCCAGCTCTAAATTCTATGATCTTATAATTGCCCCATGAATGTCCACAGTGGAATTTGACAGCTGCTCTTCCTATCTCCCCTTGGGAGAGGGACATGAATATGACAAGAAACAGCAATTCGTACCAATGTAGCCCCGAGCCCGAACCCAGAACATCTGCTTGGCCTTCTGTTGGCCCAGTCTGGGTAGATCCACCAGCTTGATTTCAATGGGTACTTCTTGGGCAGCAATTCGGGTTAATCCTATTGGACACTTTTTCCGTAGCTCAGGGTCCCTGGACAGAGTGAAAATGAGTCACTTTAATCCATGTCCAGTCTACAGAGTTAGAAGAAACCTTAAGAGATCATCCAGGCCAACTCCTTAATTTTACAGATGAGAAACTGAGCCCCAGAGAGATGTGATTTGCCCAAAGTCACACAGCTGGTAAGTGGCAGAGTTGGTGCATCATTCCTCCATGTCCCAGGCTCAAAAGAGCTCCTGAAGTGTTCCCTATCCTTTCATATCTATCCAAAATCAAAGTTGTGCAAGAGGGATGGGATTTCTTCTGCTTGGTCACAAAGATCATAACTAGGAAACATGGGTAAAAGCTTCAGAGAGACATTTTTGGTTCAACATAAGGGAAAAAATTCTAACAACCACAGCTATCCTAATACTACACTGGAACACAAAGAAAGAGTTACTTGACCATGAGGTCAAGCAAGAAGCCTGAAGTTAACTGAACTTCCTTTTCAGGTATTCAAAGTGACTTCTGAGATTGCTCTCAACTCTGAGATTCTGTGGTTAATTGTGTAATTTCCTCCCTACCTGTACTTGTAAAATGGAGAGACAACCTCATAGTTACTACTGCCAGTTTTGTGCCTCTCTTGCCCCCACCCAATCACCTTTGTCCTACTTGAATTAAAGCAGCCAGACACACATTTTGTACTACATTTGATCCTCTAGGTAAAGGAGAACCCTCTGATAATGCAGCTTTTCCTCCCTCACTTACACTTGGGGAAAAAAAGGGCATGAGGTCCTGATACTAAAAGGCTTCAAACATACTGGATGAGACAACAGAGGGATTGTTCAGGTAAGGATTGGATTAGGTGACCTGAGTCCCTTCTGAGATTCTGGGGTGAGGCTTACCCCAAACCTTCTCCCGGAGCCTCAGACATCAGGAAGCCCCACTTCCCAAAGTCTCACTCACTGAGTACATGTATAGCATTTTTACACCTTTCCAAACTTCCACATCTATAATCTTACCACTGTCCTATAAGGTAGGTCAGAGGTTATTTCCATTTATTCAGACATTGTCTAAGGTCCCAAGAGATGAGCCCTGAGGTTAATCTCCTGCCTCCTAGGCTAGCCCTCCCGCCTCCAGACCACAATGCCTCCTCACCGTAAGCTTTTGTCAACGAGCTCCTCATAGCTAAGAAGCTCCTCTGGTGGGGGGATAGAAGGCATTGAGAACTGGTGCTGTATAGGGCTGGGCTGGGTCTTCTGGAATGAGGCCTGGCAGATGAAGATGGCCTTGCCATGTTGAACGGCTTTCACTGAGCGTACAGAGAAACTGGCTCCTGTGCGTGTCCGTTCCACCTGGTACAACACCGGCACCTTCGGGTCCCCTGCAGGGCACAAGGGGGAAGCCAGGTGAGCCAGGGTGCAGCCTCTCCAGTAGAGACCAGAGAATTGCAGAATGTCCCTGCTGCCAGGGGCCTCAGGGTACAACATTAGCACTAACAGGGACCTTGGAAACCATCTCAGTGTAATGAAAAGAGCACCAGATTTGGAATCAGGAGACCTAGGTTCTAGTGCTGGCCCTGATACTTACTAGCTATGTGACCTTGGCTAAGTGATTAGACTCCTCATCTGTAAAACAGAAAATAATGCTTACATTACTTACCTTATAGGGTTGTTGTGAGGATCAAATTAGAAAATATATTGTGAAGTGCTTTGTAAACCTTAAGGAGGTACACATGTATCCAGTTATGATTGACCCTGCTCCTCCTCCCCCAAAACCCCATTTTCTAGATGAGAGAACAGAAGCCTAGAAAGGAAAAGTGACTTGTCCAACATCACACAGGCAGGAGCAGTGTGTTGACTAAGTCCCCTGATCCAAGCCAGCACTCTTCAGTAACAAAGGTTCTGCAGATTATGATTAGTGATCATTAATTCTGTAGTTAACACAAAGGATGGAGAAATCAAGCTCCCTTGCAAACACCCAACTTTAGCTCCAGCACTCCCAACAGGCTCCCTGGAATATGAAAGCAAGTATGCATGCATGCCGTAATATGAGGAAGTAGGTGGAAGCAGGTGGTGGAAGGGGAAGGTTACCTGCCCTCACGAAGTAGCAGTGCAAGGAATGAACATGGACATCTTCACTCACAGATTTGGCTGCAGCCACCAAGGCCTGGCCCACAATCTGACCTCCAAAGAGCCTCTGGGTTGTAGGTACCCAGTAATGCCTCCCCCTGCGAATTGAGAAAAATAGAGGAAACAGCCTATAAACACAATTGCCTTAAGACTCCTCTAGCCTAATCTCATTTTACAGGAGGGGAAACTAAAGCCAACAGGAACAACTAGTCCTAGCTCACCCAAGAGAGTCAGAAGCTTGTGCTAGAACCCATGATCTCAATCTGGTTCACTATACTGACCAAAGTTAGAGAAGTTACTAAGTCCCATATTGTCTACAATTAATGAACTTTGTCCTCAGAAGGAAAAGAGCATCCAGGTTTGGCAACCAGTCCCAGGAAAGGGTGAGGGAAGGAGCCAGATAAAGAATCCAATAGATATTGAGTGATTACTTATGCCTAGCACTGCTGGGAAAGCTGGAACAAGACCCTTTGCCTTCAGGGAAACTTACTCTGAATTTAAGTCTAAGTCCTTGACCCCTGGTCTTCTGGCCTCTCAGAGTGAATCCACTCTACCGACACCATTTAAGGACGTAGGCCTCTGGGTCTTTAAAGTTAAACAAAAATTGTCTTGCTATGTAACATACAGGCCTGGCTCTATTAAAGCAGGGCAGCATGGCATCGTGGAAGGAGCCTTAAAGAGGAAGGAGAACCAGGCCTCTCTCAAACTAGGGAGAGGAGAGACTCCCAGGCTAAGCTCTTTGGGGACAGAGTCTATTTCATTTTGTCTTGGTGGCCGCAGTACCTAGCAGGGGGCCTTGCACACAGTGGATGCTTAATAGTTGTTGTCTGACTGACAAGGATGCATGCCAACCCAATTACAGCAGTATCGCTGGAAAAGGTCAAACGGCCTTGCTCTGGCTCCAAAGGTGAATGGGGAAGGCCTCGGCCATTGGGATTCCGAGGTCGCTGCGTCTAGGGCTCCCCAAGCCACCGCCAAGCAGATGCTGTTAGATCAGCACACAATCGTGACTCCCTCCCTATCGTGAAGGAGTGGGAAGAGGATGAAAGAAGAAATGAGAAGAGATCGGAAGACGAGGGCGACGGGATTGGGGGAGGGGAGGGGGGCTTAGGTGGGTTAAGGACAGGGTTATCCCGCCCCGCCGCAGCCCCTGCCCCAGCAAGTGAGAGGAGCTCTTGTCGTGATATAGGGGGAAGTCGCGATCTCGGGGGTCCGCCGCGGGCGCCACTACCTGTACAGATCCTCATCCAACGGCTCCAGATTGAGCACGCTGGTGACCAAGACGCTGCGGAGGTCCCCTGAGGGCTCCTCGGCGCTCCCCGAATCCAGCGGGGGCGACATAGCACTAGTCCCGGTGCCGCAAGAGGGAGACAATGCGGCCCGGTCGCCGCTCCAAAGTCGGCTCCAAAGTCAGCTCCAGGGCGGGGCGGCTGCGAAGAGCCTTCACCCGCCCACAGAACTGCCCATCACCCCTTGTTTCCGGGAGAGCAGGGGGCGGGCCTTCGAATCCGGAAGTTCCCGGCAGGTCCGCTTGGAGGCGGGAGCCAGATTTTCACTGGTCGTCTCTCCCGTCCATCTCCAGTCATGTTGCCCATGCTCCTTTTTGCAACTGGCTCAGGGAGAAGCCGGTCTCAGGATCTAGCTTATGATTCGGTCTCCCCACGAGGGGGCGGTGCTTAGAGTCTGGATAATAAGCACGGAGGGTCTTCTTCTCCCTCTCCCATTCCTTCCCAACAGCCAGGTGGCCATATCTGTGGCAAGACTCATTTGAACCCTGGGTTGGGGGAGGTTTGAGGAGCACCACTTTAATGTCAGATTCTGGGCCACGAGTACCCACAGCATGCCATATATAGGTCCTTCTACCCTCTTCAGAGCATCTATGTGACCACTGACCCCTCCAGTGACCTCTGACCCCTCTGGGAGCGCTCCCTCCCCAGGGGCCCATTTGTGCATCCGGGGTAGAGGGTAGCAATGGAGCTGGGCAGCCACTTCCAGACCTTTGAGGACTTCAGGGAGTGCTTCAGTGCCTACAAGAGGGAGAACAAATGCACCTTCGGGCTGAGGGACTGCATCTCCGTGCGCTTCCATAACCTCAACCATGGCACCTCCATCCGTGAGGACATCACGTAAGAGTGCCCGCCCTGCCTCCCCCGGGCCAGGTGCAGAGGGTGGGGATGCCGGGGAAGGGGAGCAGCCGCAGCACCCCCTCCCCCGCCAGCCATGGCCCTGGCGCCAGGTGCAGCCCGCGAATTTAAATTGCACAAGTTTGAGGGCCGGAATCGGCAGGCACCTTGGACTTCCTCCAGGCCACCCTCATTTTACAGAAGAGTCCACAGGTGAAAGTGACGAAGGTCACACGGCCTGTTGTGATGTAGAGTTGGTATTTGAGCCCCCCCCAAGCCTTCTGACCGTAGATCCAGTGTTCTCTTTCTTGCACCACACTGCTTTCTGCTATTCTCCTGCTCTGTAACCTGCTGTGGCTCTCCGTGGCCTACAAAATGAATCATAATTCTCACTCAATGTACTGTTTACTATCTTAGTTCATTCTACTCCCTTCCAGGTATCCTAGAGTAGAGAGAGGCAGCGTGATATGGTGGATAGACCGCTGGATTGGTAATTATGAAAACCGAAACTCGGCTTCAGATACTAATTAGGCGCCTTGGGCAAGGTCTCTGAGACCCAGTTTCCCCATCTGTAAAATGAGGATAAGATTGTGTTGAGAAGATCAAATGAAATATAACATATTTAAAGGGCTTCAAAAACCTAATTATATATATGTGAATTATTATTTTTATTAGCCAGATTAGGTCACTAACTCTTCCCTGATCACCTAAGTGGCACTGTGGAATCAGGAAGTCCTGAGTTCAAATATTTCCTCAGACTCTAGCTGTGTGACCTTGAGGAAGTCATTTAACCTCTACCTCAGTTTTCTCAACTGTAAAATGGGGATAATAATAGCACCTACTTCAGGGGGTTGTTGTGAGGCTCCAATGAAAATATTTGTAAACTGCATAGCACAGTGCCTGGCAAATAGTAGGCACTATATAAATACTAGCTGTTATCTCATTCTGCCTACTCCCAGTTCATAGAACTCATGCTAGTCATTTCCCTGTGCCTAGAACAGAGGTTCCCAGACTTATTTAGCCTACTGCCCCCTTTTCAAAAAAAGAAAAAATTTTTCAGTGCCTCACTGGAAATCTACTTTAACCCTTTAACTTTTTTTCTTGAAATTTGTAGCATTTCAAACAAAAATGACACATCTTAAATTTAATACTTTATTGTAAATTTGTGGGGTTTTTCCTGCATTGAACTTTTGATGATGCAGTATTGCGTCATGTAACTTTATAATATCATATTGTAAACAAGTTATTGCACACACATATTCCTTCCAGTGCATGCTGGACTTCTTGATAATGTGCAGCAAGATCACCTGCCAACACTTGCTGCAGACTTGACCACTGATTATAACTTGCATTTTGTGTGTTAATTTGGAAAATAATGTAATTACTACTACTTTAACTCTGTTATACAACAGATGAAACATGTATGGATGGTTTTTCAAAATTTTCTTTTTTGCTTATGCTTCCACCTCCCCCGTATTTTTCTTCAACGTTGCCTAATTGAACTTGAGGCCACTGCTGCCCCAGAATTGTTCTAGCTCCCAGAACCTGTGGCCTAGAATGTACTCTTTCTATATCTTTGACTGTTGAAATTAGATTTATTCAAGACCCACTTCAGGTCCCACTCATCATGAAACCTTTTCCTCATTCACACACATAATACACCCCTACAACTGTCCCCAGCTGTGGTTTGGCTATTAATTCGCTTAATAATTGTTGAATTGACTTGAAATTGAATAGTAACTATCCTAATGCAATTCCCTTATAATAAAATCAACCAAATATTTTCTCTCTGTTTAAAAGATGAGGAAATTTTCAAATCCAGCCTCAGACACATAATACTTCCTAGCTATGTGACTCTGGGCAAGTTACTTAACCCCAATTGCCTCACTAAAAAAAGATGAGGAAACTGAGGCCCAAAGAAAGGGAAAAACTTGGCTCAAACATAAGTCAGTGACCCAACTGGGACTTTAACAGAGGCCTCCTGACTTCGTATCTCAGTCTCTTAGCTTAAAGTACTGCATCTCACTTACATACAAATTTTGGGATCCTCAAATCACAACCATATCACATCAGAAGACCTCACTTTTCTTCTCTGTAAAATGAGGTTGCTAGACCAGGTGATCACTAAGATCCCTCCTAGGTCTGAAGCTTATGATCTAATGATTTTTTTTTTTGGTTGAGGCAATGGGGTTAAGTGACTTGCCCAGGGTCAGGGCCAGTACTCTATGCACCTCTATGCCACCTAGCTGCCCCTATCCAATGAATTCTTTGCTTAGTATCTGCTAGGCACTCTGCACTGTGCTTTAGCACAACGTGAAAGAAATAATCTATGTAGTCTCCGCCCTCCAGACTTTTACAATTTGTCCTAAGGGCCGGATGGATTGCACAGTCCCAGTCAGGGCTGTTTTCTCATCTGTAAGATAGAGAGAATAAGACTTCTACCACCTATGTTATCAGGCTGTTGTGGGGAAATTACCTTGTAAAGTAGCATAGAAATATGACTCATAGTTTCTTACATCTACAGGAGCACGTTACTGTTTATAAGCCATTTCTTCAGACGTGATTTAATTCAGTCCCTAAAACAACATTATGATATGTAAGGCAGAGATTATTACCCCCTTTTTGCCTAAGCAAAAACTAAGGCTGAGAAAAGCCCAGTGACTTGCCCAAATGAGTGATGAGGACAGAAAGAAAACCCATGCCTTCTGTGTTCTACTTCTGTATTCTTCAAATCATACTGGTCATGTGTTAGGAAAAATAGTCAGAAATCAACATGCAAGGTGAAACAGCAAGGAGAAGAACTGTTAATTAGTGCAAGGCAATAGACCACACTCATAATTATGGCAAGTAGATGGTCTAATGAGAGAACTTCTAGTCCAGGGGTTCCTGGCATTTTCAAGTAGGTATCAAGGACTCCTATTTTTCCTACCATTATTATCCACTGATATAAAGAAAAGAGAACTCCTTAGCACTTCAAAAAATAATTTGGATTTTATTCTTCACAAGGCTCTCTATACATTTGAAAGCCAGAAATATATATGCAAAATAATCCTGTTCCTTTTTTTTTTTTTTAGTGAGGCAGTTGGGGTTGAGTGACTTGCCCAGAGTCACAAAGCTAGTAAGTGTCTGATGTCACATTTGAACTCAGATCTTCCTGACTTCAGGGCCAGTGCTCTATCCACTGTACCACCAAGCTGCCCCAAAACAATCCTGTTCCTTGAGGTGTTTGCTTACTGGTTACATTCATTTGATGGAGTTTTCTACTGAGACTACTGCTGCTGTTGTCTTGCAACTTCTGAGACTGGCAGCTGGGTTGGAGTGATGAAAATTCCAATCTTAGATCTAGTTTCACATTCAGCTTGTTTCATTATTTAGATATTAGTGCAACAAATGCAAAAAATCCACTTATACAAATGTATGTTAACTTCAGAAACATCAGATACTTCGCAGCTTGATCAGTCAGAAAGAACACAGAGCCAGAAGTCATTTGGGTACTTTTGTGCAAAGGGTAATTTTAAAGAATTTTTTTTCCTTTTGGCCGTAAATGAAGAATCAGTGACATAAATGTGTGAACACAAAGCTCACTGTTGCTCTGCATATTTTGTTGGAACTATGTGCATATCTAAGTAACAGTGCTAGGAGACACTTGGGTGTCTCCCAACTGGCCTTCCAGCCAGTTACTCCGGTCCCCAGCAGGTTGGGCAGCTCTGTTCTAGTGTGTCGAGCACCTCTCCTCAGTGTTATAGAGGAGGAGCCTGAAGCTCAGAGAAAGAGATTGACTCGTTCAGGTTTTTAAGCTAGTAAGTCAGAGAGCTGAGACTTGACCCCAGCCTTCCTGACTTTGAGGCCAGTATTCTTTGCACTATGTCTTAAAACATTATCCAGAAAACGGGGGGGGGGGGCAAGCTAGGTGGTGCAATGGATAGAGCACCAGCCCTGAATTCAGGAGGATGTAAGTTCAATTCTGGCCTCAGACCAAACACTTGACACTTACTAGCTGTGTGACCCTGGGCAAGTCACTGAACCCCAATTGCCTAAAAAAAAACAAAACAAAACATTGTCTATAACCTTAGGGAAACTCAATCCAGTTGAGACAATAATATTAATATAGGGATACTGAAAAGAAGTAACATAAATTAGTAGTGTTACCTAAGGATCCAATGAGAGATAAAAGAGTGGGAGACTGGTTATGAGGCCTCTATTGTAAATTAACCATGAGGTTAAAAAGGTTCTAGGTTAGGACTATAGTATTTAGGATTGCAGGAACCCTCACCCTCGTCTATTTTCCCAAGCTAGTAAGTAACAAAATTGGATTCAAGACCAGTGCCTGACCTTATTGTTT